CCCCGTCCCCGGGGGACGCCGCGGTCGCCGCCGCCTCAGCAGCCACGGCCGCCATTTTCTCACTGGTCTCTCCTTCCTCCGACTCGGGCTGCGGCGGCGGCGGCGGCGGCAGCGCGGCTGGGTTCCCGAGGCCTTCCCCTCCCTCCCGCTAACACTGTCGTCCCGCCCTTTCCCTGATGCTCGTGATTGGCACTGCGCCATTGGCTCCGCCTTCCACCCCTCCCGCACGTAGGTCAGCCCATTGGTCAGAGGGAGCCGTCTGTCGCTGGCTGGGTCCCGCCCCCGCGCTCGGAGTAGGAACTTCCCATTGGTCGGGTGAATTGTCAAGCGTCGAATCTAAGCGGAGGCGTGAGGGGCGGGATGGACGGGTAGCAAAAGCAGAGCTCTATACTTGCTGCCTGGATCTATTGGTTGGGAAGGGAAATACAGCTGTATGATTGGTGTTTGCTCCTGCCCGTTCTCGTCCTGTTCCTCGAGGGTGGGAGAAGGGAAGGAAACGCGAGTCGTGCCAATTCTTTCAAAGACGACCCGAGGGAGGAATAGCGGGAGAATGCAGAAGGGAACCGCTTCCCAAGAATCTTTGCGCAGAGAGCCTTAGAATGAATGTTATTTCTAGGCGTGGACTTGCTTGTGGCCGAGTGTGGGCACAACAGGCTTTTGTGGGAAAGATAACTAAAGTTCCAAAATAATCCTGAAACACTTTCTGCGTGGCTATTCCGGGAGTCAACTTGCCAGGTGCTGGGACTAGGACAGATGGACCAGACAGTCTCCATAACCACATGACAGGAACTCCAGCGTGTGCACGAAGAGTGTTTTTCTTGGCTTCACTTTTTAGAAGCAAAGGACTAATCTCTTCTTTCTAGGGACCTGCTCATTTCAAAGAAGGAAAATTCTAGTGAGAGGAAAGGCAGCCCGGATGCTAGGATGCGTGAAGTCCTGCCGCGTTGCTTATTCTCCCTAGATCCACTGGAGAGAGTTCGCTGTGGAAGCCTTTTCGTTCCTTGCCCTCTCCTGTGCTGTGTGTAGAAAGAAAACAACAACAGCAACAGCAAACCAAAAAAAGTCAATCCAGGCATAGTTGTCCATGGGGGTAATCCCAGCACTTGGGAGGCATAGGCAGACATGGCGAAAATTCTAGGCCAATACAGGCTTTATACTAAGTTTCAGGACAGCTTGAGCTATGGAATGAGACCTTGTCTCAAGAAAGGGGGAGAAATAAAGGGGAGAGGAGTAGTCTCTCCAGTATCCTAATGTTCTTGTTTTTCTGTTTTGGTGCTATGTTTAACAGCCAATACTATTTGAAGTCTAGAAGAAGCACCGAGCCCATTTCTTCCAGATTGTTCCTCATCAGCCCTTTTCTGTAGGAGCGATCAGAGGCAATAAGAACACCTACAGAGGAAGAAGCAAAGTTATGTATGTAGAGGGAAGAATGAAATCTGAAGACTAATTGAATGCCCTGTGCCAGTTCCTAGTACCATCTTACATGACTGTAGGCAGATTTTCCTGCCCCGCCTGCCAACTTCTAAACAACCACACAGAGACTTCTTATTAATTATGAAAGCTCAGCTGCTAGCTCAGGTTTATTACTAAGTAGCTCTTACAACTTAAACTAATCCATTTCTATCGATCTACTTTCTGTCTTTTGGCTTTATTACCTTTACACTGTATTGTCCATGCTGTTTCTTCTCCATCTGACTGACAGCTCCTTTCTTCTTCCCAGTGTCCTGTGTGCCTGAAAATCCTGCCTACCTTTTGGCTGTTCAACTTTTTATTAAACCAATCAGAATTACACATCTTCAAAGGGTACAGAAAGATTATTTCACAACACATGATCCTTACAAGAAGACAGGTATTGTTATACCGATTTTATTTGAAAACTGAGGCAAAGAAAGGTTTCTAAAGTAATTTAGCTAGTAAATTGTACAGTCGTAAGTCCAGTTTTTCATAGAAAATATGAATTTTCTATGCAATAAGCAAATATTAACCAATGTTCTATCCATTTCAAGTCTAGCAGCAGCTCTTAGAAAAGTAAAAGGCCAGTAAAAGACCTGATGGTGGTAGTGCAGGCCTTTAATCCCAGCACTCAGAAGACAAAGTCAGGTGAATCTCTGAGAGTTTGAAACCAGCCAGGTCTATAGAGCTAGTTCCAGGATAGCTAGAACTGTTTCACAGAGAAACCCTATCTCAAAAAATAAAATAAAATAAAATAAAAAATAAAAAAGTCTAAGAGAAGATACCAGCCAGGGAGAATTTAGAATCTTCATATAGTTCAGAGGGTGGGGGGAATGAGTTCACTTAGTGATCACTATGAGCACTGATTTTCCCATAACCTCTCATCTAAAATCCTATGATGGGTGCTGGAGAGATGCTCCAGGGTACAGTGAAGAGCATGTACTACTATTGTAGAGGATGCCAGTTTGATTCCAGGACCGAGATCAGGTGGCTCACAACAGCCTGTAACTTCAGCTCCAAGGGATTCAATGCCCTTCTCTAACTTCCTTGCGCACAAGCCTACACAGATATGCACACGTGCATGCATGCATACACACACACAAATAACTAAAAATAGTAAAAAGAAAAAATAGTCATGGTGCTCCATGCTTTTAGTAGAAGAATCAGAGGCAGGTGGATCTATATGAGTTCAAGGCCATCTTGGTCTATCTAGCAAGTTCTAGACCAGCCAGTGCATCTATGAAAATGAGCCCCTATCTCAATAGTCAGTTTTTAAAACCCACTGATATGTTTTAGCTCTCTTTTACAGACAAAGAAACTAAGCCTTCCTCAAAAAGTCTGTGCTTGCTAACATGCATACACCATTGGCTTTGATACCTAGCATAGTATAAAGGGAAAAGAAAGCCAAAAAAACTCTCTTACGGGCTATATGCTTACATTAAACATATATGGGTCTTACCTAACAGAATGTTTGTTATGACACTATGTCTATAGTTTACCATAATCAGCTGATTAAACAATAACATGCAGTCTATAAAAGCCATGACACTCTGAATTCCCATGCTGTATAATCCCCACAGGGAGGAAAATATAACTTGGGTCCTGGGACCTCATTACTTCTCAAAGTAATTACAAGATTCTGCAGAGAGTAGTTTAAATCTCTAATTTATCACAGATCATGGCATCCATAACAAGGCACCCTCCTAAGCTACTGTTTTCACTGTGCCCCTCAAGAGACTCTGCTCATCCTGTGTTCACACAAAGTCATCTCTTCTGCTTCACCAGTAAGACCCTCTCTCAAATCCTGTTCTTTCTTTCAGAATCTAACTCTACCAATCTTAAGTCTCTCTAATATTAGGAAGGCCTACTCGTGTGTCTTTCCCTCATTCATTCAACGAGCATTGAAGGACTACTGTGCCCCAGGAACTGCAATCACAGAGACAACCAAAAGGCATGCCGTAAAGAATATGAGATCTGGTAACTTCTCATTTGGGCCTACTTCTAATTGGTGAGTTATAAAATAATAAGTAAGATGAGGAAAGATCCTGAGCCATTCTATAAGAGAAATAAACAGGGTGAAGTAATAAAGTAGATGGGCAGGGCAGAAGAATGCACGCTTTAAAGAAGGTGGGTATAGAAAGGCCTTTCTGAAGACAGGACACTTTAGGATGTGAAGGAACGGGCAGAACCAGCTCTTTACATTGCTGGCTGAACATTCAGGTCACAAAAGAAGAGCAGTTGCTTAAAGTCCTAAGGCCAAGGAGGGCTTGGCTTGGTCAGAAAGAAGAAAGACCATTGATGGTTGAAGACAATGACCAAGAGATGAGTAGATAAAATGAGGCTGGAAAGCAAACAAGACCTAAATGATTATGATTTAGTGAGAGATGCTCCTTCTAGGAACCCCAGAGCTGCTAGAGAACCTGGCTCTTACATCCTCTGCTGTAACCTAGGCGCTTCTGCCATCAGGTTCCTTCTGACATGGAATTCACCTGGAGAGACCACTGATAGCCATGCGATATATAGGGCTGACTACGTGATAGGATGGATGGATACTTGGAGGGTTGGATGCAAGTACGGATGGAAAGAACAAGAAATCCAACAGCGCTCCAGAGGGGTAGTGTGGACTGTGGCTGTTGAGCTTTCATAACGGCTTGGCTCTGTGCTATGTATAGTACAGCCCCCCTGGTTGGTAGCCATGCAGCAGCAGCTGTGCAGAACCTCCGAAAGGAAGCTTTGTTCATGTGCAGCACCTGGACAATGTTCCCCATTTAACATCTGTCAGCATAGTCTGACATCATTTCACTATGTCCCTGGCCCAATGAGACAAGGTATCTAGACATGTCCCTACCCATGGAGCTATGTTGCCAGGCATCCAGGTCTGATGATGGCCTTGAGGACCCTACACCCGTGACTCCTCCTCCACTGGACATAAGCAGCATCCCCTGGAAGCCAGGGATTCCAGAATGCACATATCAGCACTTCATCAAGCAGAGGAAGGAGAAGCTAGTCGTCACCTCCCCACTGTAAGACTCTGTCAATATCTACTGACAGTGGACAAAATTTCCATGGTGAAAGCTAACACTACCCATGTCGT